CAGAGTGGGAACCTTCCTGCTCATTGGTTTCCAAGGATGCTGCCTTTGCCCAGAGGGGATGTGAGGAACAAGCATTTGTGTATCTTTGCAGCGACTTTCAGACTTAACTAAAAGACAGAAGTAGACTTTGGGGGTTGGAGGGGTGTGAACTTTAGAATATTCAAGCTGAAAGAGGCCTTGAAGAAATCTAGATAACTCCTTATGTAATGGAACCTATAAAATTGCTTGTTTTAATTTCCAGACCACTTTTGTTGTTTTGAGGGATGTTCCTGACTCCGATCTTGATCCTGGATGAGGAAGTGGGTTTTGTTTTCACCGAAAAGACATGTTTGGGGCTTTTAATATTTTGGTTGCGTCATCAGAGTGATCATTTTTAGTGTTTTGCATAATGTACCCAATGTTTGTGAATTCTGGTGATTAGCAGAAAAAGATGAGCTCATTTCACTTATTTTCTCCTGTTTAAAAAAAATTGTAATAAAACTTGATGTTCTGTTCTTACACAAGGGAGGAAACAGTTGATAAGAATTTGTTAGCATTTTAATGCCAGAAGTCTTGAAACAGAGTAATTAAGAAGAGTTTTTCATAATTTTAATGGGCACAGGGAGACTGTGAAGGGGGCTAATACAGCCTCAGTAAATGCAATGAGGTCAAATTTCTGCAACTTCAGAAAGACTGTGTAAAAAACTGCATATGAATAGAACATCGCCAGCAGAGGAGAAAGCATGGGCATTTAAAGCTGGCATCTCCCTTTAGTGTGAGGCACACTTAGTCTTTTTTTTTAATTGACTTAAGCATAAAAATAAATAAACAATAACCTCAGGACCATTTAATCTTGAATGACCCATTTCACTATAAATTCTTTGTTCTTTGTCAGCTTATATTTCTAATGAAAACATACTTTCAGATTTACCTTCCACACAGAAATATCAGTCTTATAATCTTTAACGACTACAGAGAATTCTGTCTTTCGACTGTGTCGTAGTTTGTAATCAGTTCCCCATTGCTGGATATTTGAGGGGGTTACCAAAGTTTTCACTGTTTTATAAACAGTGTTGCTATGAGCAATCATTGTATAATTTTTGTCAGAAAGAAAGGCTTACTTCCTTGAAGCAAGTTCCTAAAAATGGAAATATACCAGGTCCCATGTGTGTTTCTCCTTACCCTATTGGTAATACATTTTCTGTAAATATAACATTTATTTTTTTATAGCTCCCACCAACTTTGGGATTTATCTTTTTTTGCTTTTGCTAGTGATGACAGATGTATAATAGATCTTTTTTTTTTTCATTTGAAGTTTTCACATGTGTGGCGAGGTGTTCTGCATGTAGATAATTTATGGTCTAATCCTCATATACTGTTTTACCAGAGAATCTGGGTTCTGATCATATATTCACATGAATTCTTTATATTTGGAAGAGTAAGCTTTTAAAAAATCTTTATGTCTATAGTAATAGTGTCAAGAACTTACTAGATGCCACATGTTTCCTTCTCGTGTGTTATCTAATTTAATCATCCC